CGCAACCTCTTTATGAAACCGGTTTCGGTTTGAAACCAAAACATAACAAAAATACGCTATTTCGTCAATTTAAATGCATGTAAGACGTGGGTAATAATAAAATACCACACTCGGTCTCATTACATACGAATTATACGAAACTCGTGACCTTCCTATGTTATCTGACCTCGCTTTCGCTCGGTCAGATACCATAGGAAGGACACTCGTTTCGTATAATTCGTATGTAATGAGACCGAGTGTAGTATTCTCTATATATGACGACGTGCATGCGTGTGTATGTGTACTAGCGCAGACTTAAGCTGGTTTTATAGTGCTAGTTCACTGAGATACCTTACCGCATTTAAGCATGAATACCCCACTCAGACACAATAAACTGACACAATATACAACCAGTCCTCGTTGCTCCCATTAAAGTCGAGCGCCAGGCAGGGACCAACAAGTACCATATTTAAACATCTTTAGGTATGACGCGGCCGGGGATCGAACCCGCGACCTTCCCCTCTTCGGGGGGAACGCTCTAACCACTACACCAAGGAGGCGGTCCACTTTCTTGTACAAGATGATGATCACACTTTGTGACAATCTTTATCATGACTTGACGTGTGAGGGTTGTACTGCATTACTTCCATTTTGACAATGTTAAAACAAAGCTACGCCGGAGGAAACTAGAATAAATCAGGGCGAAGGTTTTGCTCTTACCTACTCGCTGGCTCTTGTACAAGAAGAACCGCCTCCGTGGTGTAGTCGTTAGAGCGTCCGCCCGGAGAGCGGAAGGTCGCGGGTTCGATCCCCGGCCGCGTCATACCAAAAGACGTTAAAATATGGTACTTGTTGCTCTCTGCCTGGCACTCGGTATTAATGGGTACAACAAGGACTAGTCGGCTCGGAGTCAGTATATTGTGTCTGAGTGGGGTATTCATGCTTCACTGCGGCATGGTATCTCAGTGAACTAGCACTATAAAAACAGCTTCTGTCTGGGCTAGTACAAACAGCCACACATACACGTACATGCACGTTATCATATGAACGAGTAAGTACGACGTTAAACCCCATTTCACCTCATCTCACTTTGTACATGAAGACAAATGATCAAATAACATTGCACATGGTGTTTCCTGTCTGAGTAAGAAAGTCATGCTATTGACACCTTCACACGAAGAATAATGTCAAACAATAGATCCCACCAAACTCGCTCTTAACTCAAACCGCAAATCTCGTATTATGGGAAGATGTGTCTTGATTAACATGGAGGCTCCCCGTGACGAACTGTACCCGCATATTGTCTGTCTGATGATTCCTTAGTGAAACATGTCAAGGCACATAATCATGAGAACTGATAGTTTTCTAAAACGAGCCCAAGATTTTAAGGCATACTCCCAGTCGCTGTTAACTTTGTTGATCGTTCTGTCCTTCTGGGCCGTAGAGAAATAAACCAACCAAAGTGTCATATCAAATCGGCTTTTCAAGAAAAGCTCTATTTACAACCACAGCATAGAAATTATACACAGTGTGATGTCGACTAGCTTTAAAGGTGAAACATAAGGCTTTCTGTTTGCTTAACAACGTATGGCATGGATCTACAACTTCTTTAATATTTACAACTTGACGTTTCTGGGCTACTTCTTGTCACTTCATCAGGTTTCTGTATCTCGAAGCATTGTTGTGTAATGTTGCATGATAATATGAAATGAAAAGTTTGATTTATTGTTGATGAGTCATTGTATCTTAAGCGCCATGGTGGCGAGGCTCGATCGTCTTCGCCATACTTGTGGTCCATCCACAGAATGACCCAGGATATGTAGAGAGGGTTAAAGACAAATGGCATGAAGTGTTTGGAATAGGCCCACATGCAGCCTCAGACGAATCCAAGCCAAATATACATCCATGCCATCATACATATTATTTAATTCACTGTCCCTTTCAACACTTATGTGTTTGGCAAGATAAGTAAAACATGGCTAATTTTCGGACCTCGACTTGCAAAATGTCACGCCGGCATAGAAAAGTAGAAGGTGCCCAACTCCCCACTGTTCTTGGTGCTTTAATTCTGGTACCTTCTGTTGACTAACATTGGAGGTTTACTCGCGTTAGCTGCCAGTAACACAGACCTGACTTTCTGCGTAATAAAAGGTGCTGACAGTCTTCACATTCTCCGGAAACTCCTTGTTAGTACCGTAACGGCTAGGCTGGTCTGCGTGTATAGAAGGCAAGGGTCCTTCGCTGATAATGAGCCAAACCAGCTCGACTGTGCCAGGATCAGCTAAGCAAATAATACATACAGCTTTGTGCACAGATGTCGGTCTCCAAGGACTTCAAATCAAGTTTGATAGAGGCCCATTATCACCTCTAGTTCATCAGAAACTACAACAAGACAGTGTTCTTCAACGTTTGAGCTTACCAAGTCAGCCTTACACTGGAAAGGTCTAATCTCACATCAGATGACAAAGATGATGCTTTCAGTAAGGTTTTGGTCAAACATACACGCGAATTCATGGAATCTTAAACGACAAAGTCAGTATCTCAGTATATAAGAAAAGATTGTGTAGTTTTTATATTACCTCATTTGGGGCCTCGGAAATCACCTTGTTACGATAAACCAAGGTCCCATGATTGAATCTCACTTTGTAACTAAGCTGTTAAACTTTCCTAACTGTCTGTTCCTTACTGCATTATATCTACCTATTGAAGTCCTTTAGTTCTATCTTAGTTAAAGAAAATAATTATTGACTATTTCATTAGTTTGGAAAATATAGCTTTATGACGGAATTTTCATGGTACTAGAGTATTCGTAACAAAGTCTTCAGTACTAATTTAATTTTGTCACTTCTGGTTCCGGAAAATACGGACTGACTAGATTGAAACTAAAACACAAAGCGTAATTGCCCTGCTTCACTTTTTAACTTTGTATTACTTCCTATTTTGATTATGTTACTTGCACAATCAAAATATATGTTGCCGTGCCGAACACATTGCATACTGAAAGGATTCTAACTGCAGCTCAAATTACATTTCTGGTATCTGTTGTCAAGGCAGTTAATAGGGGGATTGCTAATAGTTTATTGACGGTTCGTCTGTTCGATGAAATCTGAGTCAATAAAATCAATTGAAGAGACGGTTCACTGCCATCACATCAACAGAGGAACTGTTGTAAAGTGAAACAGAAGCCTTTGTAGGTTTTTATTAGAAGCTATTGCACGGCCACTACCATGGATCAGCATCTAATGATGAATATTGTTTTGTGCCGTGTTTATGCATGTATGCATTCAGTATGTCTCCAATTCAACATTACCGCCAAACGACGAGGCATTTGTTCAAACAACTATTTACACGAAACGTTCAATATCTAACGTCAATGTACCTTGCCAATTCGCATGGTTTTCAATGATGGAATTGAACATTAACTCATTTGCAATGGATAAAGGTTAGAAACTAGCTAGTCGGGTACGTTCACAAGAAGTCAGCAAATCACCCAATTTGGTTGGTTGGTTAGTTTGTTGTTTAACGCCGCACTCAGCAATATTTCAGCTGTATGTCGGCGGTCTGTAAATAATCGAGTCTGGACAAGTGATCAACAACATGAGCATCGATCAACGCAATTGGGATGCGGTGACCAAACCAAATCAGCAAACCTGACCACCCGATCCCGTTAGTCCCGTTTAATGACAGTTTGTTAAACAACTTTTTTAATTTTAGGACATAAATTCTGCAAAAGAGCTCATAGAGTTGGTCTGATGTTTTGATTATGATCAGTGTTTCATTGAGTATTTTATGTTTATTAGTTTTCGAGTTAGATTGCAATTCATCGGTCCGCTTTTGAGCCAAACGGACTATAAACTGTTAAAATGAGCAGCGACGACTGCTTAAAAAAGGTACCAGACAACATTAACACTTGAAGGCTTTCTGCAAACATACGGAAGAATGACACTAAATGATCAGAACATGAAATATTTCATCTCAAACGTTAGCTGAGTCATTTGAGGAAAATTAAAAGCCAAAACAGAATGTATTGAGTGTATCAAATGTCATTGCATCTTCTACAATAATGGTCATGAATAGTGTTTCCAATATGGCTGCCTTGGGTGCCATATTGAAAATCTTATCCGAACATCTTGAAGTAATTTGTGTATCAACATTGGCGGTATCAAGCCTGAGAAGTTTGATCTTGATTGGTGCCTTCTATTCTAATTAAGACAAGACGACTGATAACAGACTGCGGACAAGCATATCATGACAAAAGGACACGTAACATGGAGGTATTATATATTTCGCAATACACGCACTTGCTGGTAAGAAATGTCGCATTGTTTTAATTAGTGGAAACAATCACCGTTACTATATTTGTGTATCCTCATCCTTAACATTACATGGCTGAACATATCACATGATATCTTTCGTAATTGAATTCTTAAAATACACAAGCATGAATATGAAATAGGGAATATTATGAGAAGGGATTGAATATCATAAATAGATTTGCAAGTAGTTCTTCTGCTACTGCTACTACTTCCGAAGATCCGGGTTTGAATTGGTCTTCAGCTACCCATGCTTGTCGTAAGAGGCGACTAACGGGATTGGGTGGTCAGGCTCGCCGACTTCAAGATCAAGGTGGTTTGGTTGGTAAACACGTCATCGCATCCCAATTGTGTAGATCGACGATCATGCTTTGGATCACTGGATTGTCAGGTCCAGATTCAATTATTTACAGACCGCTGCCATATAGCTGTAATATTGCTGAGTGCGGCGTTAAACAACAAACAAGCCATCCAAACCATTCCGAAATATCCGGGTTATAGTTGAACTTCAGCGCATCATCACTGACGCTGACACATGCCATTGTGTCCCAAATGCGTACATCGACGTTCATGATATGGATGCATAGATTGTCCGATCCAAACTCGATTATATAATGACCGTTATCACATACCTGTATTTTTGCTTTATGATGCGTTAAACAACAGCTCAATAAATCTACAATTTATAATAATCTTTAGTATATTTACCTGAAATATAGAAAATATAGGTCTGCAACCTCAGCAGCTCGTCTGTCCATCGCTCCTGTGGTATGTAGATTGTCATCAGACGTTGTGTATGAAAGGGAGCCCAGCAGACGAAGAACGCTATCACAACAGCAACTGTAACGACAATACGGAGAGTGGAGACAACAGGCCTGAAGGTTGAACATAACATAACATAGATATAAGTCTATGTTAAAGCATGGGAGTTACGATCACCACAACGCTAAGATCCCAATGTCCAAGAATATTCTATAATCGATGTGCATACAATGTATCCACATAATATAAACAAACGGAGAAGTGTCTTTTCAACCACTACACAATCCCGTCGCTCTAGATAATATAATATAATGTACATATCTATTGCTCAACAGATGGTCAACCACGCCGTCTGATTTTGCTAGAATATTAAAAACAACCGGCATACATATTGACTGCTGTATCATCCGTACCGTACAGCACACTGATTACAGAATACATTGTATATGCTTAGTAAACGACATGTCAGCGCACATAAAGAAGAACTGAAGGCCCACTTTGAATAACCCGCCCCTATTCAATTATTAACGTGGTGGGGCGGTGGGGTAGCCAGAGGGTTCGATTCCCCTCATGGCTGCTATGTGTGAAGCCAATGTCTGGTGTCCCCCGCCGTGATGTTGCACATTGTGAGTAACCTTATGCCGGATCTGAACATTATTTCAGTTATATAACGTCAGCATGAAGCATTGATGCAGGTATCAGACTTCGGCTACGTTGGTGGAAGCGACGAGCGGGGGCTATGGTACTGACAAACCTACACACATAATCAGCGCGGATCGAAGACTCGAAGAAACCACCATTGGTTTCTGAGAATCCCGTCTCACTAGACTAGTTTGCTATAGATGATGCACATAACACCCACTCGCCCACCCTCGCCTGATGACGTTGTAGACGACAACGCGGCATCGTCGATAAAGCTATATTTCTACTTTACATCTGAAATAAGAGGCATTTAAATAATAAATAATTCTTCCTGGAAACGAAAACAATTTGACCTTTAAGGAACATCATTTCAAAGCTTGGAGGAGTATTCGTGAAGGATGAACAACAAACGACAGGGCGCCAACGTTTTGTAAATATCTCATTAGGCTTGGAATAATTCTAAAAGGTTATCCCGTGAAAAAAGGATTTTCAAAGGCAGTTCCGGTTACCTTTAAGATCATATATGATTATCTTTCTCTCAAAGCGTGGATCGCTAGACACAAAATCGACAACAAAGTTCAAAACAACATAAATATCGTGACTTGTTCTTGTTTTTACCCCCATATCACTTATATACTGTGACAGGCTTTGTAATTGGTATTGCCCAGGAACATACACTCACAGGAGTGGGATTTCAAACAAGTTATCAAATGCCAACTACGCCAATTTGAAAAAAACCCCTCAAATAACAGTTTTCGTCCCCCACGCTCTTGTTTACATAGCTAGCGCTTGCGTCCGATTTTTGGTAAGAGGCAGGAGTGAGCAGGGAAGGAGTGATGAGGGCCTTTATAGAAAAGTGAATGCAAATGTTGGTTGATTGGTTTGTTGTTTAACGGCGCACTCAGTACATTTCCAGCTATATGGCGGTGGTCTGTAAATAATCGAGTCTGGATAATCCAGTCGGGATAATCAACAGCATGAGCATCGATCTACGCAATTGGAATACGATGACATGTGTCAACCAAGTCAGCGAGCCTGACCACCCGATCCCGTCAGTCGCCTCTTACGACAAGCATGGGTTGCTGAAGACAAATTCTGACCCGGATCTTCTCGGGTCGATTTGAGGTTGAATTGAAACAGTACGGTCATTATTTAGTGGTGATAACTCAGAACATTTCTGAAGATAAAGAAACGAGTGAGTGAGCATGGTTTTACGCCGCTTTTAGCAATATTCCATCAATAGCACAGCGGGGGACACCAGAAATGAGCTTCACGCATTCTACCCATGTGGGGAATCGAACCCGGATCTTCGGCGTGACGAGCGAACGCCTTAACCACTAGACTACTCTGGCACTGCCTGTGCATACATATATCTAATATTCTGGTAGTAGTTAAACCAATTTAACTACTTTGAAAGGTTATACAAACAGGGCATCTACTACTTTCTACCTCTACATGACACAGTTAGCTTCAAGATGTTAATCAACAGCAAAAATGAGTGCTTTTGCTCTTGGGTCATAGCCTTTGATGCCGTAGATCTCACGGAGAAGGATTGGTTGTACCTGTGTATCAAATAACATAACACAGTTGGGGCTTGCTCAGTCTTAAAGAAGGTTGTCATAACAAACATGAAAGCTTTCAACGCCTTGACTGGTGAATGAAACGCAGATGTGTGGGGGTAAGGTCTCACTTTGGGTCAGGCCCAATTTCAAGTATAATCACTTATACAACTTAAGAAATACATATTATTACATATTGTAACATCAATCAAAAGTTTCCACAAATGTAATCAATTTCTGAAGACAATTCATGCAAAATATTTTCTTGCAATTTTGGTTTCAGGTGCTGATCGGAAGCATGTATTACGACAATCTAATTATAGTTATTACTATTCATCTGTTTTTCACCAATCTGGCGCTTTGTATCAAAAAGAATATCAAATTATTTAATTTTCTGATGAGCCAAACATTCAACTTTGACGCCATTGACAACGTTACTTGTTCAATTGGTGCCCAACAGTGTTCATTGCAACAGAAAGTACAGTCAAATCCCGAGGAGTCGAATCGCTGGGGACCAAGCAATACATTCGACTTATCGATGTATTCGAGACATAGGTATGTCTATGAGGGTAGAAAAAAAGATGATCCAGTCCTAATTCCTCCACCTAAGCATTTGTTTACCTAATGATTTCCCTATCACTAATAGGGGCACCTTATCAGTTCCAGTCTGATTAGCACAGACAGTGATTTCCGTAAAATCACTAATCTGCCTTTTGAACTCACCCGTCAATGTCGGAAAGGTGTGAGCCGCGCTGGTTTGTTAATTGGATCAGTTTGCTACACCAATCAACTTCTCATTGACTGACTTCGGCTTATGTATACAAGATTGCTGTTGTTTGAATCTCATGGGACCAAATTTCCTTCTCGAGTCATCGTGTGTATTTATGAGACGAATTCGTGTAACCGGTATTCAAATGATGACAACTATAACAGGGAATGGTTGGGGACCGACAGGTACTTCGAGTTATGCATAATATTCTGAGACACCGGCATTCGACTCATCGGGATTTGCACACACACACACACACACACACACACACACACACACACACACACACACAAACGGACACACACAAACACCTTAATAACCTCTCATTTCATCTTCCACATTAACAAACAGGAACTAAAGTCAGCAACTCTTGTTGGAATTATGGGAGTGGCATACATTCGTAATGATATATAACAATAAACGACTACCAATTCATAATATACAACTCAGAAATGTCGCTTTGGCATTGGATCTGACTGCGTCCATTTAAAAGTTTTGGCACATAATTGACAAGTAAAAGGACGGATGAAAAACGCGTTATTTTAACATTCAAGGTTCAAAGACTTCATACTACATTGAGCCACCACAATGTGGAATTTATTTGTTGAGAATGTAGCGGTCAGTTAAACGCGTTGCTCATCATCTACACAGTCAACACAGACTAAGCCTCTTTGAATAATGGAAAGCTTTCGCTAACGCCCAGACTGCCATTCTAAGAAGTGATCCAGCTATAGGGTGGCCATAACTCCCATACCTTAGCCTACATGACATGAGGCAGTAATATCGCAAAGATAGTATAACCGTACCCGGTTGGACGGAGATCTTTCTACTTGTGAGCCAGGTGAGCTAAATGGTAAGTTTTGTTGCAATGATGAAAGTTAACAACAAATATTAGGTTTTCGAGCATAAGAAAACAAAGAGTGGAATAAGACAGGGATATTTCTTCTTGTCTGGCTTTTGGGCCAGGTGAGCTAAATGGTAAGTTTTGTTGCAATGATGAAAGTTAAACAACAAATATTAGGTTTTCGAGCATAAGAAAACAAAGAGCTGATGAAAAATCAAGTCGTGGGAACTCCGGCGCGTTGAACTACACTTATGAACCAGCGAGCATTATTGCGCATTGGAAATCGACTGAATTACTCTTCAGCATATAGGATCTCCACAGCACTCCGGCTGAAGAAAATTATCTCCCAACATAAGCATTGACATGTATTAGACCTTCTCATCGAAAACATAGCAGTTTGTGACGAATTGGGGCTGTCTTTATCCGCCAAGAGTAGTTTTTTAGACGCTATGTCGGGGTCGAGTGATTTATACACGAATTTCCTTTTAGTATTGCTCAGTTAATCCAGATCTTGGACTCAGAAGAACGGGAACATGTACACTCTCCACAACCAAAGGGCACTTAGGAGACAATATGAGATCAAGTCTTAGGGTCAAACCCCATCCCATTTGCATTGAATCAACATTTGACTATGTTTTGTTTGAGATCTCTGTCATGATGAGAAAGATTTATTAGACGTTCAGAACTAAACTCATCTATGTTGGCCGTATGAAATATATTGTTAATATTCACATTCTGAGTGCAGTTTACAAAATTGCTTTTCAGTGTATGTTTTAATGTCCCTTGAAGCAACATGCTGTAAAATATATTTTTAAAATGGTGAAAAATGCCGGTATTAATATTTTCTTACGTCCCATAGCATAAATCACACACTCGTTGAACCAGTATAAAAATATTTCAAAGAACGATATGCATCGAAGTGAAAAAGTAATAAATATAACATCAGTTTCAAACGAACGAACTCTCTTTTCTCAAATGTACCCGACATTATGGCAATGCCATCGCCTATCGGCAGATTGATTTGAGAAAAATTCATCCCTTTTCCTTAAAATGCAATTATATAGTACTGTAGAAACGAAGCAATCTCTTAAATCGTAAAACTAGCAAAGGCCCACAAGAACGAGACTAATATAATATGGACAATTTGCTATATCGCCAGTCTGGCGACAACAGAATTTCTTTTGTGATTGTCTGGTTCGGCTCATGTTAACATAGCACGCGAACGTTCTCCTTCTATTCCTCAGAGCTTATCAGTGCCATGTAATCTAAAGGATACCGTCTAACACTGTCATTTTCAGTTTTCCGTGTCGTTTGACATTACATCATATCAGTACTACGATCAGTTTTATTCCATAATAATTATTACAGAGTTGATAAAAGGATAGGAAACAATATGTAGGATGAGATATCCCAAGACAGGCAAGAAGGGAGATTCATAAAAATGGAACCAGTGATATTTAGAAATATACCACAATGGATATTAAAGGTTAGGACATGTTTTGAAACAGGCAGCAGGTAGCATTTAGATCATACTGAAGAATTAAATCACAATGCGTTATAATTTATTCGGAAATATGCAATGCCAAAATATAGGTATCGGATTACATATGAATACACAACGCTATTTAATGTAACATATATTACATACATTAAATTTAAAAGAGAGTCAAACAATAACTGACGATCGAAAGGACGTGCACACATGAAAACAAGATTTAGCAAAATTGCGAACGTTTTCAAAAGGTTACTTGGCTAAAAAATCACTAAACACTGTAAGCCCAAACGTAGTGGTACACCACCCGTGTATCACATGCATCACTACTGAAAAACAATATTAGGCCACTGGACATTTATAAAGTGTCTGTATCCACGAACGTGTGCATGTTCAAAGCGGTAAGACATTTTTACCCAGGATAAGGCACTAAAAGATTAACAATCATATGACTTATCCCATCGGGTACCCATTCACTGCTCGGTGAACAGAGGCGATTTCGAACAGACTCACATGCCTAGGGTGAGAAGACATGTGTCACGTGTGGTTCGTTGTGGGCCATGACTGAAGTCTCCGTTACAAACGTTTCTTAACTTCAATTGATTTGTCACCTGGGTTCTATGCACAGGACCACACATCACCATCAGACATACTCATCCCTGCCCAGCAGTAGGTAAATGTCATTATCATGCAGATTCAGTATCCTTTCACACACATCACAACACCCGACACCAAATACAACCTGACTCCAGTGTCCATTCTGATTGAGATAACCTCGTCAACTGACAGGTAAAATAAATACGTGCAAGTGAAGACCGAAATGTGCTTGGTATCATGTCAGTTCCTCTATCTCGTCTAATACATTTGGAGCAATAGGGACATTTTTTTCCTGATGAGGATGCTGACGACATCCTGATAGTTACGGTGCCTGGGAAACCCTCATCCCTCGGCCTTTATTGGTAATGTGACAATATCCGGTTTTGAAATCGTGTCTGTTTCAATGTCCTAACATGGTTAATCCTCTCTGGTAATGATAGATGGTGGTAATAAACCCCTTCAGTGATGGTGTTATAGTCAATAAAGGTGGCAATGTTGGCGTGCAGCTGTTTTCAAATGACCCCATATTGTGTATGTAGTTTCTTATAATTTAGTGGGAAAGTATTTATAATGGATTAAACTGCCGGGCAATAAAGGTATAAAATTGGATTTGACCGAAAAATTACAAACGTTTTTAAAGGATACCGTCTAACAGTTTCACTTTCAGTTTTCCGTGTCATTTGACATTACATCATATCAGTACTACGATCAGTGTAATCCCATAATAATTATTATTATGATCAAAGGATAGGAAACAATATGTAAGATGAGATATCCCAAGATAGACAAGAAGTGAGATTCATAAAAATGGAACCAGGGATATTTAGAAATATACCACAATGGTTAATAAAGGTAAGGAAATGAACATGTTTTGAAACAGGTAGCAAGTAGCATTTAGATCATACTTAAGAACTAACTCATAGCTGAAAACTGTCGCCGAAACGCAAAGGTAAGGTAGAAAACAAAACCACTATGCCCGGAAAAGGGTGAAGATTTATGGATATAATCTTTTGTTATATGAAGGATAGGACATTTAGAAGAATATAGTTACTCCTTCATGAAGTTGACGTCCATCAATGTTCACCCTTTATGTGTATCACTTCTAAATATAGCACGTTCGTGCAAACGAATACTGATCCTTGACTCGCCCCAGAAACAATATCCGTTTGGTGCAAAGGAAAAACTAGCTGTGAAAATTATATGGAGGGAGCACTGGAACTCAGTGATGACACCGGGTGTTGTTAAAAGTGGTAAGCATGTCCTGCCCTACCGGTAGCACCTGTTATTCACAAACTTTGCCTAAAATCTCTCCACTCGAAGACTTCATAATACCCGAATCAAATACATCGAATAACTAATTTCTTGCGGTATTTTTTCACCCCCATCCGGGTGTAGATTTTCTTTTGCCAGGAAGTTAAAAATGATTATGACATGCAGGTGTGGAGAGGAAAACACAATGACCTCAGTTAGGACCCAGTTGGATAATGACCTCATTTTGTACCGTATTGCGTTTCAAAGACTCTATTTCTCAACACGCACCCATATATGCTGTGGGTCTGTCGTTTACACAATAAATAATTATGTTGCATCGCTGTGCACCAGCACAGAGCAATTTGGAACGATCATTGCATTTAATTGAAGACATCTGAGTGTATTCTGGGTACCTATTGGTCATTTTGAGTACATCCATCAAATAGTTTACATTTTTTCAATGTTGCACGTATACATCCATGAAAACGAGGCATCAAAAGCTATTTTTATGATTTGCGGTATTTTTGTGGCATCAACGCTTATGAGGTATTATTATACTTTTTAATTGCTTACCAGGTAATACCTTAACCTCGTGGTAATGTCGGTGCCTACGCATTTGTACATTTAAAAGACACTGTATGCAACACTTTGAGTTTTCAGGGTCATTAAAGGTGTTGGAATCCCAGATGATCTTTGATTGTTTTGAGATCTTAACCTCTGAGCCGCACCCCTCACACCACCAAGCGGGAGAGCAATGATATAAAGGAAAGACTTTCAAAGACGCGTTAAACACAACTCACTCACTCTGGGTATTGCTCGGCATGACTTTGCATATTGTAAACACTCACCAAGCATTTTGAGCACGGCCTTTCGGGCCTTGGATGCTGCCTCTGCCGCTGTCTTGTTCTTTTTCTCATCAACAGCCATCTGCGACTTCCACAACCGAACTCCAATCAACACGTACATTATAGTTATCACCACCATTGGAATGACAAAGAAGGCAAACGTAGAGAACTGGAACATGTACTTCATCCGCTCTCTGAAGTCCACGGGTATATTACACAACAACGAGTCTTCCAGGTTTTCTCCTGTTTCGGGGTGTTGGACACCGTAGAAGGTCCTGGCGTGGATTGGATAGGGCAAAGCGCAGCCACAAGCAACTGTCCAGATGAGAAGGATGATCCTCACCGCCCGCGACAAGGACGACCAGGAGTGGGCTTTGAGAGGGTGACAGATGGCAACGTATCTCTCGATGGTGAAGGCGGTGATGGTTAAAACTGAAGCATAGGCCGTCATCTCGGAGACGAATGACTTGATGATGCAGAAGCCAAGCCCAAACCTCCAAGGGTATGCTTCCCATATGGTTGATACATCTGGTGGTAGAGCTGGAAAAATAAATTGGTATATTAACAATCGTTCTGTTGTTGGTTGCTTGAAGATACAGCAATGTTCTAGTCGCATAACAGCTACCTGTAAATCCGGTTCAGACAAAAAGCCACAGAGAATAGGAACGTTCCGCCGAGGGATGTTCTGGTTGCTTTTACTTACACTTTCAATTGCTCAAGGACACGTGAGACAGCAGTAAGAACAGTGAATGGGGATGAGTCAGTTCCCAATCCCCACTAAATACACAACAACTAAAATATGATGTCTAGCATTATTAGAATAAAAGGAAAAAATTAAACCAATGATAACATTTCACCAAAGTATACTTTCTACACATCCACCGAAAGTGTGAAAGCTAACACCAATTACACGTTCTCCCCGATACTGGAAATTAATCCTAATTACTAATTCCTTTACTGGAGTTCTAGGGACGTCTTAGTCCCTCATCGATAATATTTTAAGTAACGATCTTAAGCTGCTCAACGTAGTCGTCATCTACAGAGCATGAAAACCACGAGATTCACGCTGTGGTCCTTCGCATGGTCGGAGTCATATCATGATAAAAAGAAACAGAAGAGATAGTTGGAAGGAAAGTCAAGCAACTCTTGCCACAAGATAGAAGTTTAACGGGATTTCGTATCTTGAAATATAGACATTTAAAGAAGTGTTAACACATTTTCAAGATGTATATTTCGTGAAGCTGGTTTGTGAAGCTGTGCTCGACACGAAATTAATGAAATATTGCTGAGGTGAAGTTACATTTTAACTCAATCGCTGGTAAGCTGTGTGAACCTCAGCAATCAGGCCTCTAATGTTATTGACAGAAAGCACGCATGTGTTTTAATAATGCACGTGCAGTAAAAGTATTTGTTGGTACAAGGCAGCCCGTTAAGAAAGTACTGAGTTGAAAGTTTATCTTCGTTTATCACAATAAATTATCCCTCATGTGCTGACAGTAACGAGAGGAAGGCAACCGTCTGTAGATAATGTCAACATCAATCTGAATTCACGGAGTAAACATCTAGACATTTATCTTCGGTAAACAGCCCAAGCCTTTAAATGTTTCTTGTCAATGCCAACTGATAGATACCGCCATCCTTTATAATCACCAGAGGCAAGACCAACCCTGATGGTTTCAACTCTACTTTCCATTACCACAAGCAGTTACAGCATTGAGATATATTTCTTAATATGAAATAATGTTCAAATAACTGTTTCACATATGATGTATGTTCCTGTTTAGAACATATTTCATTTATCAGTGTCCAACACCTGTATCAGTTTCACAATGTAAATTATAACAAGAAGTAAACTACGTGTATTTAACCGTAAAATGACCGTGGTCGGATGCCAATGACTACACTAACGGTGCTTGAAATAATGTTCAGAGAGTATTAAGAGCATGCCTGAAACAATAAACAACTCAGATGGTTAACCTATAAAGTAATAACAACTTTTTGTAAATGTCGTTTTGCACATGAACGTGTTGCTTAAAGTCATCAAGCTGCAAGATGGCATTGTTCTATAAACATGATAAAGACACGTATTCCAATAATTACCGTTTTGGTTAAATAGGATGTGGTTGAGTGAGTGAGTGAGTATAGTTTTACGCCGCTTTTAGCAATATTCCAGCAATATCACGGCGGGGGACACCAAAAATGGGCTTCACTCAAAGAACCCATGTGGGGAATCGAACCCGGGTCTTCAGCGTGACGAGCGAACAATTTAACCACTAGGCTACCCCACCGCCCGGATGTGGTTGAGGTTAAACGGCACTGTGATATCATGGAAAGTAACACTTCAGTGTCACATACAGGAATGTACTTATACAAATTTTCTTGCAGAATGAACGATTGACAATTCCATCTTTGTTTCTGCGAAAGTAAGATATTTTATGAACAGAAGTTCATACAATATGTATAACAAGTGATTTCTCATGGACACCGTGCTGTCCACTAAAACGTAAACATCTCGAAAAAACGTCAAGACGATTTGTTTTCATGAAGTGATTGATGCGGTTCTATAATTTAAAAATGGTCTCAGTAATTTACGTGGTCATCAAATGAAAACATTCTTCTTGTTTGTAATTCAGAGACCGATTTTATGTAATAAATATTCTCTCACCGTTGTGGGTTTTTCATATTCGCATCGGTAGTACATATATTCAGCCGGACAAAAGAGAGTATAGGCTTGAAACTTATATTTGACAAATAAAATTACTAATGTTATCAACACGTTACTTGGATGAAAATAGTAGTGATGATATCGTTATAGCCCAAATACATCTCTCATACTAGCATCTTGCATGTTCCCATCAAAAGCCAATTTTGTTTTGTTTCCATATTAGTCAAACATGGGTGTAAACTTTCAAATTATTTTTCCCGGCAGTTTATCATGCAAACATGTAAACATGTCCATTGCACATATGCTGTTCAAGTTGAATAACTGCCAAGTTCAAGCACAAGACGTTATGGAACATGCAATGCAACAAAAAGTAGATAGGCTTTTTCCAAACCGTCGGGTGGTGATAGACACTAATTACTGGAAGCTACTCACTCTGTGTGAAGATAACGTTACGGTTTGTTGTAAACACATATTTCGGGGATACATTTAGAAACGTGTAAAGAAGATAAGACTTTGAATATGTAACGTGTGTTCCAGTGAAATGCGAATGAAATTGTGACACAGTGTGTTAGAAAGATAGCGAAATGATTAGCTCGTTTGAAACAGCAATGTTGAAGCTAACACGGCACATTAACTTGTACGATAATATGTTTCTGAGTGAATGAGTGGCTAAGTGAGTGAGTGGCTATAAGTGGCGCAGTGGGCGAGCTGGCTTAGGCGCCAGGATACTGATCCAGCGAGGTTGAGGTGCCGGGATCGAGCCCACCTGTGACCGGGTGTAAAAACCTTGGAGTCAACTTTGCGCGCAGGCTCTTTCAGTGTCGTCACAACCCCTAGTGTACAGTACACAACACTGTGCACTTAAAAGAACCCACGAATCCGTTGGTATATGACCAGATGGTGGACACATGAATACATGCAAACACCTAAGTTGCTGGTACAGCAACTGCAGTGAAGTTGGACAAAGTACTGTCTATGTGTCCCTGTCCACCCAGCTGTGAATGGGTACCTCGTTAGGATGAGAAAGCCACAATAGCTCTGTGCGCCTAGTGACAGCAAGAGTTGTATGCTCCCCAGGGAGTTGAGATTGATAATACGATGTGCCGTTGAGATTGACATCCAATGATCGAGGGAAAAAATGCCAGTGCCTTGAGCATGCACTAGTTGCGTGGATATGTGCACTATATAAATATCCTATAATAAATAATAATAATAAAATAAAGTGGCTGAGCGAGTGAGCGATGGAATGAGTGAGTGTGGTTTACGTTGCTTTGAACAATATTCCTGCATCTTTTGGCGGTTGACTACAGAAATGGGCGTCACACGTGTACTTTTGTAATGCTTGTCTTCAATACACACATGCACACGCATAATTGTTTTCATTTTTATCAAATAATATTATACCCGGAAAGAGGATTCGGACTCGATCCTCGGTCGCGTCTAACCACAATACTTAGCAAAATGGTAGTTTTTGCCGCTCGGCCGAATTAATAATACAACAATGTGTTGTTCTTACACAATAAGTTGACCAATTTCGGAATGGTAATGTATCTTCAAGTAGCTATGCCAAAATATAGCTTGTCTGCAGAGAAAGCATTGTGCTGTCTGCGTTGCAACTACCATCTTAAATCACGGTAAGCCAATTTGCATAGAGATACTGATGCTCACAGATCAATCCGCCAATTTACATAACAATCTCTTTGTTTCTGACATTTGAATTAATGAATTGTAGGATGTTTCCAAAAGATCTTAAAACAGGTTCAAAGGTTCCTTATGCTTTTTGTACTCTTGATCCTTTTGATAGCATTGATGTGATGTCAAATGATGCATTTGATGTTATTCAAAGTGATGGGGAAAACATCTGCACAAACAGGATTTTTATGATCTTTGAGATGCAGATACAAAAGGCGACTGGTTTCAACAGTCTGGTGCCCATACCCTGTTTAGAGCTTAACGTTGCATTTAGTGCCTTGTGAGACCTAGTGTGGATGTAGTTAAGATGTTGAAAGGGTTATCAGTATTTGGTTGATTAGTTTATAGCATATAACCTGAATTAACGGTCAAGTGAAGTGGTATTGGGATGACAAGACTTAAATGCTTGACTGCCCTCTGTCCCAAGATTTGAGCCTCTTTACGAGTCTCTCGATGGGTTATGGCGAATGTTCATATGTAAAAATGTATTTTGATAAAAAAAAATATAACGTCATCGCTAGAGAATGAAAAGTCCCGAATCCATGTCCAGTCTTCACGGGGCTTCAAAAGCAAAACAGATATGAAAATTAGATACGAATGGATCACTACAAAATGATGACATCAGGTGTTTCTTTGCTTAAACGTAAATATGAAATACACAATGCCATTTTAGAAAGTGGTCAAATGTAACATATGTTATATTTGGGATTACACTTTCTTAGTAAAGTACAGATTCTAGTACTTTTTTGGGTTGAGTCCCATCCGGGACTCGAATCCACACCCTCAGAGTCAGGCACCTGGTTAGAATCCCGAATGGGACTCAACCCAAAAAGTACTAGAATCTGTACTTTATTAACACAGTTTAATCCAAATATAACATTTGATAAACGTAAATACTTCCTATTCTACGGGTAGAATCCGACATTCACACATCAAGCATGAAACAGCAATCTATGTACATTTTGTCGGAAACAACATCCTTAATGGTTCGGATAACTTCGAAGGAATCGGCGGTTTTCTCTGGTCCATATGAATGAATCGTCACATTGTCAGACTATATTCATTCAACATACCACTTCACGGACATTCGTAACACCCTTGTTTACCCCGACGCAGTGAAAACAGACTACAGTGGACTGTGTATAATCCGACATCTGAATTATCCGACAATCTGTGAATTTCG